CTCTACGACCAAAATCATTTTTTGAAACTGAACAAATTTTCAGGTAGAAAGGGTCGTGGGGGATCGCGGTCTTACCATTTTGCTGAACAATGCTGGAATAGCCGTAAGCTACTCCACATACCAGAAGCCAAATCGTGCCGATATTATCAAAAACTTTGATACCAACGCTGCCGGTGTGGCCGTACTCACTCAAGTTCGTTATACAACTTTCAGATTATCTTGTTTAATTCTGCCTTATTGCGGCTGCTCGCACCACTTCTCTGAACAAGTCACTGTAACATTTATTCCAGACATTCCTTCCTTTACTACGTAAAGCTGCCGCGCAAGTCTCCACAAATGAGTTTTCTGTTAATCGAGCTGCAATTCTCAGCATTTCGTCGGAGGCTGGTTCAATTGCTGGTAATACATCGGGCGGCATGCTGGCCTACAGAATCAGTAAGGTAATTTCAACAATGCGTTACACAGATCTTCAGACATCAATATTGTCTTTTATATAATGCCGTTAAGGAAGCTATCACACACTTGAGATTGACTAGTGCTGCAATTTAAGAACATTATTTATATTAGCAAAATTGCGCTCACCTTCCTGTAAATGCATATCATCCCCGATGTGGCGGCAGAGCACGTCAGTGTTTTCAGTCACTGAAAAGGGTTTCTCGCCTGTCTTTGTTCTTCTTCATGCATTTCTGATTATACTTTTCAGAATGAGTATTGTGCCCCTTCAGCTGTTTGTTTAGCTAAAGCCATGGTTTTTGTTTTACCAAAGGCGAGGCAGTAAACTAGGGTGGCAAAGGGAGCTTTCTATAGCTTTTTGTCTAAGCATGATTTCTGTACTTAATGGCCATTTATCCTTTTCACAGTATTGTCAAAGTTTCTTAGTATACGAGAGAATAGTTTACTGCATCATGATGATGCAAGTTGTCCATAGTTTTTATGCAGAATCGATAAAATAACGGAGGTTAAATTTGACAAGATGATATTGGACAAAAACCTATCGCCAAACTATCAAATCACAGGCGATAAGAGAACGTAAAGCAGTTTAAAGACCTTTAAACCC